AAAGCTATTTTATATTAAGTGTTTCTCTAATGTGATATCATTATGTCCATTCTTACTAACATCCAATGGTTATTTCAGTAGACTTTCCTTCAATGGGCCAATAAAAATTTGCCTAGAACAACTTTTGAATGACTCAATGCTTGTTTCATTTCAGTGCGGAAGCAGTTAGAAATCTTCTCACGGTAAGTGTCAACTCTATTGTGAACATATTCACTATAGCGCCAGCATGATCCTCCGTTAGATATAAGTCTGCTGATCATAACTTTTGATGTTAGTAAGAATGGACATAATGATATCACATTAGAGAAACACTTAATATAAAATAGCTTTTGTTCTTAAAAATAGCTTTTGTCTCCAAATTATTGCCTTCTCAGTATATAATTCTACTTTATACTCTTAACTGTTCTACCTTTATCTACAACATTTGATCCTCACTCCTTGCAAAGGATTCTTTTAAGGAATCCTTTGAAGTATTACTTAATCTTGCTGTAATTATTCTTGAACTACCCACTTTGGGGAGGGGGAGGGATATTGCTATCATTTCAGTAGGAAATGAGATTCATCTCCATTTGATATTATGAAGTTTGCAGTAGTTTCCTCATCCATAGATCAGAATTTTATAATCTACAGCCCTAAACTAACTATTCTGGAAATAAATCCCACTAATTTCAGTGAAGCTTGTATTTCTGAAAAGAAACCTATATAGAATTGCATATCAAGACCCTAACTCTCAGTTTCATTAGTCTTCAGCAGTACAGACAGTGAAAGAAAATATTGTATCGCATTAACATGACTTCAAATTCATTGGTATTTGTTAAATAATGCTTTTGAAAACACACTGTGTGTGGTTCTGTGAGTGCATATCCAGATGCCCATATTTGTGTGAGTGTCTCTCAAGAACTAGAAATATCCAGAATTATTTAATAAGATAACCAGAGCTGCAAAGACTATACTCACTTACGCATACAAAAAGTTCCAATATTTTTCCTCCTCAAAAAGGAGCATTCAAGTTGGAAATGTCATTCAAATATTGGAGAGAAAAATTCAGAATTAAGGTGAAAAGATAACCTTTTCTTTCATTTTCCAAGAGTGCCCATCTGCATAGCCCTGCTTCACTAAGAAACTTTAGAGTATGTACTGTAAGTGTGCAACTTACTGTTACTGCACTTTCAAATCTATCTACCATAAACTTTCCCCTAATTAAGTGAACATACAGTACTTCTAGTGACATTGATTAAAATTGTAGCACTTCCTTTCTTAAAATGCTTGCCATTTTCTATATATGGGCTCATTCATTTAGTTATTTCACCATGAAAAATACTTGAGGAATCTGTTTTATCCTGATAGTAGACTGTGTCTTTAGTCTGAAAGATTCAAATATTTAGTCTGGTAAGAAAACAATCAGATAATTTCATTTATTTTTATCCTCAATGCTTGTACTGCTTCAAAACATCAGTCTTTTAAAAGGGATATGTGGGGGAAAACCCATTCTTTTTAAGGTTTTAAAACCATGCCTGTAATTTTGTGGCAGCATTGGGTTTTATGAACCTAGTTGTTTTGCAATCAGGCAATATTTGCAGTGCCAAAAACAAAGGCAAAACACACATGTACACAAAGCTGTAATAAAATACCAAAAAACTAGATAATAAACTGTGTCAGAGTGAACCTAACAAATTATGCATTAAATCTCAAGTGAAATTTGGCACATACAATAATGGAGGAAGAGACCATTTATATATTAACTGAATAAGTCCTCCAAGGTGTCTCACATTTTGCAGTTGCAATTTATGAAAAAAAGAAATTAATAAGAGAGTAATGAAGAATGCCTCTTTTGAGTCATGTTCAATTCTAGATGATTTCAGGGAAGTGTTCATGCAGTTTTCTTGGCAACAATTCAGAAGGGATTTGCTACTGCCGTCTTCCTGGATATTTTCAGACTTCCTGATGTAGCCTGGAGCCCAAAGATTCCTTTGTATTTTTCAGGTCAAATTTTAAACAGTTCCAAGTTTGCCTAGTTCTGAACCCAAGCAAGGATTTCGCCTATTCTCTTTATAATCTTATTCTGCAAAATATTTTTAAGAATGTTATCTTTTTCCTGTACAGAAGATAGCTCTGATAGTTAAAAATAAGTCTGAAATAATAATGCAAAGAGGGAAATATGCTTTTCTCAATGCCCTCCATGCAGGTATCCCTAAATCCTTAAATGATTCTTCAAGCTTTTTTTCCTTAATCACTCTATGCTATTATTCATATTATTTACTATTTCTCTAATCCATGAAAGTAAAAAAGAAAGGCACAGAAAAAATTATGGATTCACTTATATAGTTATTGTATTTCTGGATTTTCTATGCAGTGCCTGCCCTAAGATTCCTGGGAAAAGCTACTTTATTCATGATATATTTTTGTATAGTAAATAATAAATACTTAAGAGTTTTTGGATCATTGTATAGAAAACATAGTGTTCTTCCATGTCATAAAGATTCACAATATAAAGCATTGTGGGGTTGAAAAAAAATATTAAAAAAGGTTACAAGCTTATTAGGTTCATCATTCACTGAACCCCTCATCCTCTTCCTTGTTATTCACCTTTGTCCTGCAATTTCTACATTGAGACCAATAAATAACAAGAAATAAGCTCAACACTTCACTGGCTTATGTCCTTTGGCCCTTGATTCAGTGTCAACACTGGAATAAATTGACTAATATATTAAACTAGTATTTTATGAATAAAAAGTCAGGTAAATGCTTTACATTTGATTCTTGATTCTAAATAAATTGCAGTACCTCTTCTATTTTTGTTTATTTATTTTTGATGCTATCAATTCGTTGTTGACTACTGGCAACTGCCTGGACTAGACTCTGTAGTTTTTAAGGCAAGATTTTTTAGAAGTTGTTTGCCATTACCTGCTTCCTAGGGCTGAGAAAATGTGACCAGTGTAAGATCGTCCAGTTGACTTTGTGTCTAATTTGGGACAAGAACTCACTGTTTCCTAGGTTCTAGCTTAGTGCCTTAACTACTACACCAAACTGGCCATATCTCTTTTACAGCTCTCTGGAGTTCAGAATTGAATTTGAATGCAGATTGTCCTGTAGAGCCTACTAGTATAAAAATTAATTGTGCAGGGGCCGTCCACAGGTTGTATATGTGGGTTTGTGTATCAAATAGTTATGATGGTGATCATGGCCACATATAGAGAGTAAAGAGGATTACCTTGACAGAGAAAGGGAAGATCCATAATAAAAACAACCAAAATGAAACATAACTTGAATCTAAAGGATGGAGAGTGATTACAAAAACATCTCAAATAGAAACCCCTCCTCCCAAATTCATATCAATATAAGACAAAGCAAGGAGAGGAAGCATCATCAGGCTTTCAAGATTATGTTACCATAACCAATTTAAATAAAAATTATTTTTAGTCATCTCTGGAACCTATTTCTTGGTGTAGTCTCCTTAGGGCTGACATCATGTAATCAAAGTGCCACCTCTTTTGTACAGGTCTCAAATAATATGGGCATCATTTTGACCACACAGTCATGGCCACCATCATGACTTGTTTTTAACCTCCTTCCTGAAGCTCCCCCTGATTTTATAAGAATTTAAAAGTCACATTTCATCATTCCAGAATACAAAATGTATCCATTGTTCCTTGTTGTGAAGACTTTAAATAATACTCTTCTTTCTTCCTTATGCATTATTACAGCATAACTAATGGACATGGCAGTTGTGGGAGACAGCGATACAGGTTTATGTATTAAGAAGCCTATGGAGGAAGTAGTGACATATAGAAAATAAGTAGTTTTTAGTTTAAAGCTTTATACAGAGTACTTTAATTCACAGGAGAGATCTCTGTTTAGCTGCAGCTTCAGCTAAAGTGGAATTGAGGAGTTTATTTCATTACAACAGTCTAGCAACCAGGGAACCAATTGAGAAAGGATAGAGTCCTATAGAGGAATAGGACATTTTTAAATTTCAGAGGTTGTAGAGACTATAAGAAGTTCAGAGGCTCAAATGATACATGATCAAAAATGAAGGATAAGATAAAGACTTAAGGAACAAAATTAGCTATTTTGTGCAAAGCTGGGTCAAACTTTTGGCGTAGACTTTTCTTTCAGCATTTGAAAAAGATTAAAATACAATACAAACACATTTATGCTAAAAAACAACAACCCACACATTCATCCCTGTCCCCTGCTTTAAAAAATGGTCACATTTAATTAATTAATTTACATATTAAATTAATTTTAATATTTCTATTTCCAAAGAAAGAACAGTCAGTTTTTAAATTGTTATATTTTAAGACAGACAGCAATTTTCCAATATTCTACTAGATTTGTTGAAGATCGTCAAAGAGAGAAAAGTATTTCCTGATAATAATGAAGTGGGTGTTCCCTATTTATATCAGCTTATTGTGATACTTAAAATGATGCTTGGCCATGGAGCTAGTCTCCTGCGTGTTTGCTTGCTCTTGAATATCATAAATTGCAAACTATTCAGGTTGTCAACTCTAATAATATCACAATGGAACAAATAATGCCCGCAAGGAATTTGCTTTTGTATTCCAATTCCTTCCATGTTAAAATGATGTTTACACCACTCTGCAAGAATGAAACAGTATCAAGAATTTATGGGACAGCATGAAAAGTGTGCCTAGCAACATCTCTTAGATTGTCCCAGATTTCAAGCTGCTTTACAGATTTACAGGTAGAATAATGGTCCCTGGAGTTCAGAACATCATTCAGTGTTAAACAGAAGATTCTAGCAGCAAACTAATGAACTGTTTACATCTTAAAATTTTACAGGATCTAAAGCTGGGCAAGGCCATCAATCAATCTGGGTTTGCCATCTCCAAATAGGTTTGACAAAAATTCCCTGGTGAGCCACTGTCAAACATAATATATAATACTGAGCTAAATGGACCAGAAGATGGTTCAGATTCCTACATCATGTTTTCTAGTCTAGGGTGCATAAGGAGCATTGTGTCTGTTTTGAGGCCTCAGTCCAGAGCTGCAGAAACAGGTTGATCAAATCGAGTCACTTTGGGGGTAGTCCAATCCATTTTGATGCTTGGATTTACATCTTATTTTGCTTATTTGGAGAAATGTCTCACCATTACTATTATCCTGATTATTGACTTCTCTCTCCTTCCATCTTAGTGCCTGATTATATGCATGGATCTGT